CCTTATAGCAGCATACTGAGGGGAGGAATTGAAACAGTTTATGCTCAGAATGTTAGGGGTCTGTAGATATTTTCTCAGACCTTCCAAGTATTGTACATTGCGTTTTAGTGGGGATTGTGAAGATACCAAATTGTATTTATTCACTCTACAATGTTGTGATGCAAACAATAGTCACACACATATATTTTCAGCAAATCTCAATATTCCAAAACTGTGGTGGAATATAGCCCAGATTCCCAAATCTGAGGGCTACATTCCACCACAAAAACATGGGAATGGTCTTCCTAAATTATTTTCAGCAAATTGCTGTTATGTGTGCTTTATTTTCTACTTGTTGTCTTGAAAATTACTGAAGGTATTAAAAAACCAACTGATCCAATTTGCCAGTCCAATCCAGAAGTCTGGAAATAGCCCAGTTATTTGCCTGGAATTGCTTTAGAGTAGTCCAATCTTAATAGAGTCCAAAGTACATTATGGAAAAGGGAACTCTTTTCTTCCCTAATGTGATAATATTTGAATATAAGGAATTATATTAGGAATTAATTCACTGGTGTTTTCCTTAAAATAAGTCAAGCTCTATATTAGGTAGTAATGCTATAAAGTGTTTTGCATTTGCTTTTATTCCAAAGTGCATGAGGTAAGCACAGCTCCAGTTTGCAACTCTTTAAGACTTGCGTATTTGGAAAAATGCATGGGCTCATTTTTTATTTTTTTATTATTCAAATTTTATAGCCACCTATCTCAAGCTAATGAATCTAAGGGTATAGTAACAATTATTTAAAAAATAAACACACAAGAAAAAACAGATGAACAGCAACACACAGTGAAAACACTCACCAATAACAATTCAACACAACTATTGTGCAGACTTAGCTAGCCTCCAGGTCTCCAAGTGTCCCATTACATTGGCTTTAACCCTGTTGGACTTTTACAAGGCTTTAAAGGCCAATAAGGTTGGGCCAGTCTAATCTTTGGTAATGCTATTCCAAAGGGCAGGTGCTATGATGGAACAGGTATTCTTCATCTGGCTGCCATCCATATCTAACTATGAAGTTCTGGGAGAAGATTCAACTTTTTTATAGAATTGTAAACTGATGTTATATTTGCAGCTGTGAGGGCCCTCAAATGCTTCTTTTAGAACCGAAGCAAAGCATTGCACAATCATACTAGACATGTTGGGTACTAGATAGCTCATAATAAGAAGCTTTGCAACATTGAAGAAACAAAGGAAATTCCTTCCACCCAATTGTTTAAGATGCTGTGGTCTGATCACAAAGGTCGTTCTAATGCACAGGTGTCAAACTCAATTGTGTCATGTGACGTATTGTGACGTATCATGACGTTTTTTGCCTTTGTGGAGCCAAAGTGGGCATGGCCTTCATGTGACACATCTGGCCCAATATGACACCCAATATGACACCCCTATATCTAATATAAAGAAAAGATGGTTCATTATTAAATACAATACTTGTCCTCACTGTTGGCTTTGCCACTCTCATTTGGGTACAAGGCAGTGGTGGGATTCAATTTTTTTTACTACTGGTTCTGTGGGAATGGCTTGGTGGGTGTGGCAGGGGAAAGATACTGTAAAATCCAGTCAGAAGTAGTATTTGCCGGTTCCCCGAACTACTCAAAATTTCTGCAACCGGTTGTCCAAAACTGGTTAGAACTTGCTGAATACCACCTGTGGTACAAGGACTTCATCACAATGAACCAAACAAGAACAAATCAGGACTGGATTTTCATGAAGGCACCAAAGTGACATTGTTTATCTACTTTGTCCAAGATAAGAAATATCTCTTCTAAGTATTCCACTTGGCCTCTGAATCTGATCTTCAGCCAAATCCATTGCACATTCAGAAACACTTGAGGGGAAAAGCATTTCCAGAATATTCTTTAAACATAAGATAAAATTCCCTTGTACATGAGAAAATCAGAGATTAAGTATTTATAAACTCTCCCCTTCTTTCAAATGATGGTAAATTATTTATTGGAGATTGAAACCCCATGCTAACTTTCTCTACAGGTTTGAAGATCTGACTAGAAAATGGTGTTTGGGAAGCTCACCACATATCCTTTGTATTGTGATATTTTACAATAGGATGTTTTCTTTCATAACCCTTCAATGTGTTTTCATCAAGAACATGCTGTCTTTCTCTCTTTTTGACCCCCTCCTATCCATTCCCTCTTTGTCTATGGAATAAGGACATTCAGTAGCTGAGGTCAGTATAGTTTCAACCCTCTTTTGAAGTAAAGCTGTGGCAGGATGCTGTTTATTGCCATTTAAAATGTAAACTGAACTATCATCTCTCTGGTATCTCTCAAGTCACTAAACAGATTCCCAATTATAAATAATTCTTGGCATGTCTTTCAATAATTTCATAGTAGCACAGGATATTTTCATTCTTTTGAATAACCACCAGGCAGATCTGTCAGTAAGTTACTGAAGCAATTGCATTCACAGAAACAATTTCACACCACTGTCCAGTCTGTTTCTTCTTGCCCGAAGACATTTTTTACTATTAAACATGAGACAAGCTGAAAAGCAGTACTTCTGTTTATGTCTCTTCAACACATTTTCATCCTTCAGTTCATAGCCCTTCAGAAAAAATCTAAAACTACAGTATAGAACTAAATGCTTGTTAAGACTTTCTGAGCACATTCACAGGCCACATTCTTCTTCATTTATAAAAATCCTAGGAAAGTTTTTATACAAGATCTATTGAAATTAATATTAATTATTATTCCCAATAAATAGTACTCATTCTTTATAACTGGGAATTACAACAGCCTACTAGAAGCACAATGTGAATTGTTGCAAACACCCAAGAAAATGAATGCATTAGCAAATCAAAAGTTTTTTAATAAAAATTCAGCTATATAACTTGTATAACCCAATATGCACCCACAGACACATGCAACTTCTTTTTTGCAACTCAGTAATTCACAGGAGGGTGGAATCTGACATTTTCAGATTCATTTTATTTGCATTTTGATGATTTGCTGAAGGTTTTAAAAGGCAAGATCAATTTCTTAAGTGTTTCGTCCATACCGTAATAGTTGATTCCCCTATTGAGAGGGTTCTGAAAGACTGCTGTGTAAATCATCAGATACAAACAGTCCATTATCAGTGAAAAGTGTTACTTATTTGCCGGTTCATTAGAAGTTTATTAGAATATGAATCAGAGGTTTTCACTTTAATGTATATGAAAGTATACTGGTTTTAAACTGAAAATAATTTAGTTCCCGGAGTTCTTATAATTTTATCAATTGCAATAGATCTTGCTAAAGAGAACTTGTGTTTGGAAAAGAATAACTTTGGGTTTAGGCCAAAGAATCAGACAGATAGAGAGAGAGTGGGACAGAGAGAGACTGACAGACACAGACACACACACACACAAAGTCAGAAAGAGAGAGAGAGAGAGAAAAAAAGACAGACACCCACACACAGAGGATAATTTTTCTCATGTGTGTGTGTGTATGTAATTTTAAATGGTACATTTTGAAACCTCTATACATCTCTACAAATACATATTTTGCAGCTAACACCCACTAAGATGCAAAACAAAAACAGATATTCAGCCAAATTTATCTTGTGGATTTTCTCTTCTATTTGTTATGTGTTCTACTTGTTCTGTGTTAAATACCTCATCCTGTTACCCTGCCCTGAAAATGAGTAACAAGTGCTTTAAAAAAAGTGAAAAAATGCAACAGAAAAAAAATGCTGATACAAGAGTAACAGGTAGTTCTCTGTATACTTATCTAATACAAATATTATTCATGTATTTCTAATATGCTTATATTAACTAGGCAATATAGGAACCTCTAAAATACACACGTGTGTGTGTGTGTTTGTGTGTATGTGTGTGTGTGTGTGTGTAGTTTGGGTGTTTCAGAAGCTGAAAATGCATTGCCATGAAGTTGCATCAGATGCTATTGATAGATGATATTTGAGCACAGTGTAAGTTAAAATTTCATCTGCATACTCTATCAATTGATCCAAAATCAATATTGCTGCTTTTATCCAATTTTTCTATACTATCATCATTCTCCCAATTTTTAATGCTGGTTTTCCCATAAAGTCATTTTATCATGGGAAAAATATCAAATCTTTTAAAATTATTCATTACATTCCATAGCTTTGTAACTGACATAATTGTTTCCAGGGATTCTAGAGTTCTATTTTAGTTAGATCCTAATATTGTCCATCCAATCATGCATATTTCAAAGTGCTCAAATGGAAAACTGAATTTTCCCACATTAATCAATGATTGCATTTTCTGTAAAAATATTCTTAGAATCAAAGACCACCACAGAAAATGTATGTATGTAAATACACACATATACACCAAAGCATCATGGCAGCATGGCAAATATTCTTAAGCAGGTTTTGATAGTGTTTCTGTTTGCAATTTAAGGCAACAACTAACATTTTTCATCCTGTTGCTGTAAGAGATTCTGATTGGCAGCAGGGTTACCAACAAAGATGGCAGGTTCACTCAACAATGCTGAAATGTATTGGCACATGGACATACAACCACATATAACAATTACCCAATTAGAACTGGCAAACTTATAAAATAAGAAAAGGAAAACATCATTTGTCCAATCCCAACAGATAGATTGGAGCTGCTTTTCAGCTATTTGTTATGTACCTTTAACACATTTCAAGATAAATGAGTCTTTATTTGTAACATCTGCCACATTCTGGACTATGGATTCATGTTTTTCTTTATGCTTACTGCATCCTGAGCATCATTTTTCAGCCTCCTCATAATTGAGACCACAAATTAATAGTTCTTGTCATTTGTGATAATGCTGCAGGGTGAAAAACATCCTGCTGTAAGTGCAGATGGAGAAAGTCACATGCCTAGCAAATATGACAATAAGCACCTTAATCTCATGCCACTGTAAGAGCCACCTGTCAAATTGAGAAGCAAATGCAGGTCTTTATGCAAAGTTTTAGCAGATAGTAGATAGGCACCATGGCTATTACTTACAGCTGGAGAATATCAGCGGGCATGAATGTTTATCCATGGGAAAATTATGTAGCTGCAGCTGGCATTCGGCATTGATGGTGAGCCTAGAGAAAACCAGGTACCTATTACTGTCTTGGTATGACAGCAGGCTATAAAAAAAATTAGTAATTCGGTCATTTCAAAGGCTTAATTGGAATATTATGAGAAAGTGCTTCTATAGGATTCTCTTTGATGCAACTACTAGGCAGAAACTATCATGGGAGAAGGCAATAGCAATCGCTTCCATATTATTGCTAAGAAAACCACACAGTCATATGGGAATTGGAGGGAGGGATAAGCTATCATTTTATAAATATTATGCAGATGACATGAATTATTATATTTACAGAGTGATGTCTTCTCGCGTGTGATATATTGTGGCTTGCAACAGATACCTCTACATGGATAGGTCCATGCAGTCATCTGGCTGACTTTGTTTGGGTTTGAAAACTGATTGGTTTCAGGCCTGTTTACTAGTGCTGTCCAGTACTTTGGATTCAAAGAGAAAGGGGACCATACATTTACCTGAATGTCTTATACCTATTGTGACTTTTCCCAGGATTGTGCTACAGATGTTGAAAGGAGCTGCTTAATCCCAGAGAAGATGCAACCTCTTCATGGACTTCTATATAGGGCTGATTAAATGTCACAGCATGGATCAGAACCCTTTTTTCTTTGAATCTAGAGCCCTAGATTTTAATATTTCAATGGAGGACTGCCAGTGCCATACAGCTAAATTTGACACTATCGTTACCTATATTTCTGGGAAAAATACATTAATTGCATATGTAGTTGTAGGTATATAGTACAGGTAATTCTTGACTTACAATCTTCCAATTTTAGTGGTTTAGTGACTGTTCAAAGTTACAACAGCACTGAAAAAAGTGACTTATGATCATTTTTTTACAGTTGCAACTGTTGCAGCATCCCCATTGTCATGTGGTCAAATTTTGGATGCTTGGCAACTGGCACGACCACATACTTATGATAGCTGCAGTGCCCTGAGGTCATGTGATCACGTTTTGCGACTTTCTGACAAGCAAAGTCAGTGGGGAAGCCAAACAATCATGTTACTAACTTAACAACTGCAGTGAATCACTTAACAATTGTGGCAACGTTAGCCCTGAGGTTTCTTCCAAGGGTGGTGAATCTGCTCCCAGTCACCTGTTAGCTTGGTCCCCAGAGAGAGTGGAGGAAGAACAGTTTCCCCAGGACTTAAGCAGATCAAGGCCTTCCTCTAGACAGGCTACTTGGGGGCCTGGCCCTTCCTTCCTCGGTGGTCAGGGGGTTCAAGGTGGACATAGGCCTAAGCCTGAAGCAACCTATACCCCCGCAGCTGTAGGCCTATGTTCTGAGGAGAATAGGCCTGAGGACATTAGAGAAACGGTCTCTGTTGCCATAAGGCAGGGCCTAGCAGAAGGATTTAAACAATTCCTTCATCCATAAGGGGGAGGCCTGTCCTTGTTACACCAGGGTCTTCCCCAAGGGGTCTCCCACTCTCAGAAGGGTGTTCTCAGACAGCAGTTCTGTTTCCAGCCCTCCCATTCGGAGTTGGGGGAGGAAGAAGAGTAAGACTATTCCAAGGCCTCTGACCATAGTCGCTCTAGTCATTCTGAGGAGGAGGAAGGGGAACTTAAACATCCCAATGTTTCTGAGGAAGAGGACTTCAGAGTTGATCAGCCTCCCTTAGCAGGGATTTTTAGGTCTGGAAGGTTGTAAAATGGCCAAACTCACTCAACAACTGTCTTGCTTAGCAATGGAAATTTTGGGCTCAATTGGGTCATTGGTTGAGGACTCCTTGTAGTTCTGGCTATGAAAATATCTTAAATTATTGTCCTATTTGACAGTTTTAAGGATAACAGCAATAACTCAGCACAACCCATTGTGCGGGTCACTAAAACACATCAGAACTAAGGGAACAAGTTGCCTGAACAATCCCAATTTAATGCCAAACTGATTGTGTTTCTTATCTTTGAGACAAGGCCCTCCGCCAGCTAAGATTTTTCTATTTCTGTTATAAAATTGAAATTACATTAATTTCTATAAAAGGGTGAGTAATTATTTAAACTAGCCCTTCTTCAAAGACACAAATGCTTCTTACCTTAAAGTATACAAGATTTTCCCATCATTCCATATTCTTAGGAGCTGATTGGGTGTAGTAATCCAGTGAGCTTCTGCAGTTTTAGAATTCCTAAAAATAGTATCTGGGATCCAAATTAACCCAACCATATTGCTGTTGAGAGTGAGACTTCTTTTCACGGTGCTGTTGAAACGAAGACGGCTGTCAGTCCATGTCTGAGCAAAAAAAATATCAATTTGGTATTCCTGCAAAGGAAATTAGATATATATATATATATATCAGAATAAATTTAGAAGAGCCAGATCATCTATTTATTAAAATCTTCACATTTCTCTTAAAACATTACCTTTCTTTTTTAATGCATACTCAAAAATTAAGAAGCAAGTCACGTGTTGCATTAACCACTGGAATTGGGTTAGTCACTGTCTTACTTCCAAATAATAGATGATAGGTTTTCAACTATGATAATAATAAGATGCATGTCAGCCCCTCCTAAATTTCTGATTAAAGGCAAGACTGATTCTGATCCATTCACCTGCATCTCATCACATGTTTTTAATGCTGAATGAGGCATTATTAAGCCACTAACTAGATAAAAAGGTAAAGCATCTCCCACATTGGGCATTTGGTGATTGTTAATGACACATCCAAGTAACTTTCCCAAATGTATTTTTGACTTCCCAGTCAAATACAGAAGTCCTCGACTGTTTGGCACTGGAAAAAGTGACTTATGACCATTTTTCACATGATCATTGCAGCATCCTCATGATCGCATGATCTAAATTCATGTGCTTGGCAACTGACTCATATTTAGGATGGTTGCAGTGTCCCGGATCAGTGGTGGGATTCAATTTTTTTTACTGCCGGTTCTGTGGGCAGGGCTTGGTGGGCGTGGCAGGGGAGGGATACTGTAAAATCTCCAATCAGAGATGGTATTTGCCGGTTTTCCGAACTACTCAAAATTTCCGCTACCGGTTCTCCAGAACTGCTCAGAACCTGCTGAATACCACCTCTGTCCCGGATCATGTGATCACCTTTTGCGACTTTCTGACAAGCAAAGCCAATAGGGAAGCCAGATTCACTTAACAACACAGTGATACACTTAACAACTATGGTAAGAAAGGTCGTAAAATGGAACAATTTTCTCACTTAGCAGCATAAATTTTGGGCTCAGTTATGGTCATAAGTCGAGGACAACCTGTACCAGCCAAGGAAAGCTTTCAAATTCAACTAGGTTTCAAAGTCAGTTAGGTTTTGTAGTTGTTGTTGCTGACCAGAGATGGTTCAATTAATTATGCCCACAGCAATCATTCAATGCATTTATCCAAACCTCTGTCTACAAACACCGACACAATACATTGAACTGTATCCCTTCCATTTAGGCCTTTATCATCAATTGCCCAGAGGGAGGAAACAAGAGATGCAATGGCTAAGAAGAGACAGAGCTAGCTAAGCTACTTTTCTCCATCACTGATCACCAAATGTCTGTGTGAAGAAAAAAACAAAAACAAAGAAGAGAAGTCATGTTTGGTAGATGAAGATAATACTAGTAAAATTAACTGAATCTGAAGATTACAAGGGACCTCAATAATTATTCAATTATCCATCCATCCACTCAGGAAATCTTCTACAGTATTCATACTGTAATAAATGGTCACCCTGATTTTGTTTTAAAACATTTAATTTTGTCAAAACCTGGATTTCTATAATATGAGACTATTGGTTCTTTGGAAAATATGCAAACTGTAATGTATATAGTAGCTTTTCAAATATATATATATGTATGTATGTATGTATGTATGTATATGTATATGTATATGTATATGTATATGTATATGTATATGTATATGTATATGTATATGTATATGTATATGTAT